GTCCAGTTTGATTGTCCTAGTCTAACGCTCACACTAGGGATACTCAGGTCTTGTTGCGTACACTAAATCAACAGGGGGCCGTACTCATACTAGGACTTTCTCGACTGAATGTGGTCTGAATGCCGGTCAGATACGTCCAGTTTGATTGTCCCAGTCTGACCGACGCTCACACTACAGCTACCTAGGTATTGTCGCACACATTGTAGATTATTGGTTCCACAAAAAAAAAACAACGTCATCTCATACCCTCCCTAACACCTAACCCCATTTCTGCACCAACTGTGTGAGGGGGCCTAATCCCATAATGATTTCTTGACTAACTATGTCAGGGGGGCATACTCAGGGTCTCGTCGCACCATCTTAGATTTAGTATTTACGTACGTACATATCTGGCCGTTTTCAGCTAGAAAATTCGTCCAATTCAGGAAGAAAAAATGCCTATTCATGTGCTGTATTCAGGGGAACGCATAGGTAAAGCCGAGAAGCGAAGTTTTTATTGATCCTGCCTAGTCTCATCATCCCTCCATATTCATCATCCACCCTCGTTCTACTCATTCGTCCATTGTCCTCCTCACATATATACTTTGATAACCCAATTATCCATCCACTTTCATTAATTACATTACTTATTGATTTGATTATTTATTATAAATGATTGTTTATAATAGTAAGTAGACATCCATCCACTTTACCATCCGCCTTATCCATTCAGTTATCGATCCATCTACTTCCATGATCCCTTTAGCTCTACTCATCAATTCATCATCCACCCACCTACCTACCCACCTACCAACCCATGCACCCATCCAATCTATCTGTCCATCCCAATCCCAATCCCAATCCATCCCATCCCATCCCATCCCATCCCATCTCCGATTCAGATGTTATTCCCATCCCATCCCATCCCAATGTCATCCCATTCCCTCCCCTCACCTTCCCATCGCTCCATTTCGCTTCATACAGCCAGCCAGGCACTTTCCCCACCCCCTTCACCGTTCTCCTCCAGCCCATTTTTGCCCACGTATTCATGATGTTATTTACACCTTCGCCCCTACGTCCATCCATCCATCCATCCATCCATCCATCCATCCAGCCAGCCAGCCGTGTACTGCCTTCCCACTCTTCCTCCCTTCCTTACCTGGCTACCTACCCACCTACGTCCTTCCCTCTGTTTCTGTTGGTCACTCATCTGTTTCTGTTTGTCACTCCATTCATCCACCGAGCTCGGCAAACCTATCGTGAAAAAATTACGATTGTAGGGCAGCTGACAATCNGGGGGGGGGGGGGGGGGGGGGGGGGGGGGGGGGGGGGGGGGGGGGGGGGGGGGGGGGGGGGGGGGGGGGGGGGGGGGGGGGGGGGGGGGGGGGTTAAAAGAGGGTTAACCAACCCCTTCCCTCCCTTCTCGCCCCTTGACTCACAAAATATTCCGTGATTTGCCCCACTAAAATCAGTAGGGTAAACATCATCAACGACACACCAGACTGGCATGCACCCCAGGCATTGGAGAAGCAGACAGGGCCACAAAAAAGAAGAAAAAAGGGATTTAAAAAAAAAAAGAAGTAAGAAAATAGAAGGTGGACCCTCTGCAGCATTAAATCCATTGTCAATCCCCCCATTTTATGCGATCAATAAATAATAAATAACGAGTTCAGGAATGCTGATAATTCATTCGGCGAAGACTTTCAGAAAGTTTGGTCAAGTTTCGACATTCTAATAGAACCGCTCTCTCTCTTTTCCACAAATCAAAAACCCCCCCCCCCCCCCCCCCCCCCCCCCCCAAAAAAAAAAAGAAGAAGAAATCGACAAAAAAATCACCGCATACTGTATAGGTGACCGGAGTTACAGTGAGCCAGTTGTGTTATGCAGTGATACTAAATAAACAGAAGTTGGGGGGGAAGGAGATGGGTCGGGTTAATGTGGTTGATAATATGGGATAGGGAACAGGAAAAGGATAAGCTGCAGATATGTTATATTGAAAAAAAGAAAAAAAGAAAAAAAGAAAAAAGGGAACAGGGAAAGGATGAGCCTTGGATACATTATATAAAAGAAAAATTAAAAGGAAAAAAAAGAAAAAAGAAAAGGAAAAGAACGAAAAAGGGAAAAAGAAAACAGGGATCAGCCTGTTGGTACAGGAGAGCAGTGGATTGGAGATGATGGTGTGTGACTTTGTTTGTCTGTGATATGTTAACTATGGGGAGAGAATCGCTGTACGTACATAGGTGTTTCAATGCATCTGGCTTTAAACGGCTGTTATGTACGGAGGCATTTTTATGAATGATTGTGGCTGAAAACGGGTACATAGGCATTTCAATGAACGCGTCCGAAAGCCTCTGTACATAAACAATGGCAATGTGTCAAGAAGAAGAGCATTGACAACTCGATAGCATTGAGAGGGGGTATTTTGGCGGGAAAGAGGCTATATATAGATTGGCGGGAAAGAGGCTATAGATTGGCGGGAAAGAAGCTATAGATTGGTGGGAAAGAGGGTGCTGTGAGTTGCTGAGGTGGTGAAGAGACTGCTGGGTCCATATAAAAGAGTGAAGGGTGGCTGTCCATCATATTTCTTATGTGAGCCGTCTTGTGGGAGTTGGGGGTGTTGAATGAGGGGCACAAAGGAGAGCAGGCCTCCTGTGGGTCCAGAGAAAAGAGTGAAGGGTGATTGTTGGGGGTGTCAAATGAGGGGCACAAAGGAGAGCAGCCCCCCATGTGGGTCCAGAGAAAGGAATGAAGGCTGGTTTACCTGTCAGGATGGCTTTTATGTGAGCCTTTTTGTGGGAGTTGAGGATGTCAGCAAAACAAAAAGGAGGGGTACAAAGGAGAGAAGGCCTCCTGTTATCGCTTTCAGATTTGGTGGAATCAGGTTGTATGATTCCTTGTGCTTTGCTTGCCATTTTCTGATAGCATACTCGCACTAGGACTTTCGTGTGCGAGGAGACGAGTACTTTCGTGTGCGAGGATATGAGTCCTTGGCACGCCTGCATGGTCCCCCTGCTGCAAGCATTGTGACCGCCGTTAGTGAAGGCGGGCCCTGTATCTCAAAGAGGCCTGAATATTGCAAAATCTGCCACCCCGTAGTCGGCGCCAGACTGTTACCTCGCGCCAGTTGGTTACATTTGCCTTGTTCGCAAGCATCGGAATCTTCCGTGAGCCTTCTAGGCTCTTCTGTTCTTGACCTGGAAGCTGGCCTCTCGGCCTATCAGGAAGGAGGGAATACGTCACTTGGCGCTGGGTGGTTGGGCGCGCCTAACTGCTGCGGGCCCAGGCCACTGTCTGAATGGCCCTGGGTGCAGACACTTTGGCCCAACGTGACGCTACTGGGCACACACGGGCCTCCCAGTGGAGCAGCCAACAGTCCAGGCCGCTTTCCGTACAGGAAAGGGCCAGGCAACGAGTGATGCATTCAGGCACTTGCCTCTTGTGCGGGAGCGCTGCTGGCTTGAGCGCTCAGAGACAGACCGCTAGTGGAAATGAAGGGCGAGCACGATCGTCAGGTGGTGGGCGCTGCGTGGAAGCAGCGCCATAGGTCAGGCGACGTAGCCGGGCTTGGGCTTGTGGGAAGCCAGTGGGAGTGGTGGTGGTCTTCGGAGGTGGAGGAGAAGCTGTGGGTGAAGACGAGGGTGAGCATTGAGAGAGCCAGTGGGGGAGAAGATGCGAGAGCACGTACCTGGTCCTGGTGGAGGTCTACATGGTCGACATGTGCATGTACTTCGGTTGCTTCTGCTGACGTCAACTGGTTGCTTTGTCGATCTTGTAGGCTAGTATAGTAGCTGTAAGATTGTAGTCTGGGCGCTGAATGCCAATGGCGGAAAGAGCTTCGGGTACATTGTTGAGAGGGCGAGCGAGGGCTTTCATTGACAATTGAGTTCGGAGTTCGCTGCTTCCGTTCTCCTTTGGTGTGATATATCAGCGCATTTCTGCTTTCTGGACAGCTTGCGATTTTCTGGGTTTCAATGTGATTTTGCAATTTGGAATTCTCTCATTTGGCTATGCTCATTTTCCTTGCACTTGGATGCATCTGACCGAAATTGTGGCTTTTGTGCGCGTGTGCATCTGACCACAATTGCTTCCATTGATGAGTCAGGAATGTCCTAGTGTGAGTATGCCCTGTTCCGCTATTTTTATTCTCATCATCTATGTAACAAGGACACCCATGAAACAGAAACAAAAAGGAAAAAAAGGTGACTGTGACAGTTATATTGTGTCTGGAATCCTCGGATCAATCCTTAATTTGTAACATGAATCCACACACACACACACACACACGCATATATGATATATATATCTCGTTTGTTGTCCTCTTCTCTCTCTCTGCCTACGGTTTACCGGGCAGTTCTGTTTGTGACGATATATATATATATATATATGTCCTCTTCTCCCTCTCTGCCTACGGTTTACCGGGCAGTTCTATTTGACGATATATATAGTCTACTTTGATTTTGGTTAAGGTAGATTATCATTTACAGTGTAATCAGTGAGGGGATTCTGCAGACT